TAGACGCTTCCCTCTCCCTTTGAAGTCGCTCCGCGGACGGCTAAATAGGCCTCTTATGCCGAATGACTGAGGAGGTGATGATAGAAATCCTGGAAAATGCCGAGTTCTAGGTTTGGCTCCGGGAGGGGAAAGCGGGGAGGCTGCAAATCAGAAACAGGCCTTCCGACTCCAAACAGAGATTACTTTATCTCACCGGAGAGTGTTCCAGTCACAGCAAATTACATATAACAACCGATGGATGTGTTTGATATTTTAACCCTCAAATAGATCCTGTCGATTCGCATTACCGGGCAAACGGAGACTTCGGCTAGGGCTCCGAACACGCCATTTCCGCCCCAAAGTCTCCCATTCCCAACCCATGTTGGGGAATATTAGGAACGGGTGAGAAAGGTGCCTGGTGTATATAGTACTTTAGGAAAAACAGGTAAACAAATGGGGAATATTATGATTTTTTATTTATTTTTATTTTTATTATTATTATTATTTGATTATTTATTATTATTATTATTTGAACACGCCATTTCCGCCCCAAAGTCTCCCATTCCCAACCCATGTTGGGGAATATTAGGAACGGGTGAGAAAGGTGCCTGGTGTATATAGTACTTTAGGAAAAACAGGTAAACAAATGGGGAATATTATGATTTTTTATTTATTTTTATTTTTATTATTATTATTATTTGATTATTTTTTATTATTATTATTTGAACACGCCATTTCCGCCCCAAAGTCTCCCATTCTCAACCCAGATTGGGGAATATTAGGAACGGGTGAGAAAGGTGCCTGGTGTATATAGTACTTTAGGAAAAACAGGTAAACAAATGGGGAATATTATGATTTTTTATTTATTTTTATTTTTATTATTATTATTATTTGATTATTTTTTATTATTATTATTTGAACACGCCATTTCCGCCCCAAAGTCTCCCATTCTCAACCCAGATTGGGGAATATTAGGAACGGGTAAGAAACGTGCCTGGTGTATTCAGTACTTTAGGAAAAACAGGTAAACAAATGGGGAATATTATGATTTTTTATTTATTTTTATTTTTATTATTATTATTATTTGATTATTTTTTATTATTATTATTTGAACACGCCATTTCCGCCCCAAAGTCTCCCATTCCCAACCCATGTTGGGGAATATTAGGAACGGGTGAGAAAGGTGCCTGGTGTATATAGTACTTTAGGAAAAACAGGTAAACAAATGGGGAATATTATGATTTTTTATTTATTTTTATTTTTATTATTATTATTATTTGATTATTTTTTATTATTATTATTTGAACACGCCATTTCCGCCCCAAAGTCTCCCATTCTCAACCCAGATTGGGGAATATTAGGAACGGGTGAGAAAGGTGCCTGGTGTATATAGTACTTTAGGAAAAACAGGTAAACAAATGGGGAATATTATGATTTTTTATTTATTTTTATTTTTATTATTATTATTATTTGATTATTTTTTATTATTATTATTTGAACACACCATTTCCGCCCCAAAGTCTCCCATTCTCAACCCAGATTGGGGAATATTAGGAACGGGTAAGAAACGTGCCTGGTGTATTCAGTACTTTAGGAAAAACAGGTAAACAAATGGGGAATATTATGATTTTTTGATTATTTGATAATTTTTTGATTATTATTTGATTATTATTTGATTATTATTTGAACACGCAATTTCCACCCCAAAGTCTCCCATTCCCAACCCTGGTGTATACAGTACTTTAGGAAAAATAGGTAAACAAACTGGGAATATTATGATTTTTTGATTATTTGATTACTTTTTAATTATTTTTTGATTATTTGAACATGCAATTTCTGCCCCAAAGTCTCCCTTTCCCAACCCAGGAATATTATGATTTGATTATTATTTGATTACTTTTTGATTATTTTTTGGCTATTTGAACACGCCATTTCCGCCCCAAAGTCTCCCATTCCCAACCCAGGTTGGGGAATATTAGGAACGGGTGAGAAAGGTGCCTGGTGTATACAGTAGTTTAGGAAAAATAGGTAAACAAACTGGGAATATTATGATTTTTTGATTATTTGATTACTTTTTAATTATTTTTTGATTATTTGAGCACGCCATTTCCACCCCAAAGTCTCCCATTCCCAACCCAGATTGGGGAATATTAGGAACGGGCGAGAAAGGTGCCTGGTGTATAAAGCGCTTTAGGAAAAATGGGTAAACACTGGGAATATTATGATTTTTTAATTATCTGATTACTTTTTGATTACATGATTATTTGGTTGTTATGATATGATAGGATGGGATAATAACACAGCTGTTACTATGGAGATACCCGAAGGAAACAGTCCCGCAAAACAGCAAACTTTGCAGAAGTCTAAAGAAGCACATGGCACTTGGCTCCTTGACTAAGGCAAGGGCCAAACATCTGGGGACCAAGACAGACGCAAGGCAAGATCGCGGCTCCCGTTTTCTAGATCTACGACGGCCATTGGTCTACTCAGGACAATTGGAGCCAGACAAGGAGAACTACCTTTTGCCTAAAACACAGGGCGAGGGGAGCGACAGGCTAAAAGCAAAAGGCGGCTGTGGCCAGCATTGGAAAAGACTCACAAACGCAGCTTGGGAGAGGCCGAATCCCGTCCCTGAAAACGGGGGAGGAAAAGAGTCACCAGTGAGTCGTGCAGAAGGCAAGATCCGGGGACACGCGTGTGGAGCTGGGAAAGACCGCTCTGATTTTCACTCTTCCCCAGGTCATCTCAGACATGCTTTACGCAAAGGATACAACAACATTGGAAAGAAATGGGAAAACTCTGATATGGGTTGCTGTGAGTTTTCCAGGCTGGGTGGCCATGTTCCCGTAGCATTCCTTCCTGACATTTCGCCTACATCTGTACGTAATGCCATCCTCAGAGGCAAGTGGAATGTATATATCCCTGTCGAATAATGTCCAGGGGGGGAGAAAGAACCCTTGTCTGTTTGAAGCAAGTGTGAATGTTGCAATTGGCAAGTCTGAACAGCATCAAGTAGCCTTGAAGTTTGCCAAGTCAATCAGTGAGGGTATCTGCATAGAGGCAAGTGGAGTGCATATATACCTGTGGAATAATGTGCAGGGTGTGAGAAAGACCCCTGGTCTGTTTGAAGCAAGTAAAATGTTGCAATTGCCAAGCTTGGTTAGCATTGAGTAGCCTTGCGGCTGCAAAATCAATCAGTGAAGGTATTTGCATAGAGGCAAGTGGAGTGCATATATACCTGTGGAATAATATCCAGGGTGTGAGAAAGATCCCTGGTCTGTTCGAAGCAAGTGTGGATGTTGCAATTGGAGAGTTTGGTTAGCACTGAGTAGCCTTGCGGCTGCAAAATCAATCAGTGAAGGTATTTGCATAGAGGCAAGTAGAGTGCATATATACCTGTGGAATAATATCCAGGGTGTGAGAAAGATCCCTGGTCTGTTTGAAGCAAGTGTGGATGTTGCAATTGGAGAGTTTGGTTAGCACTGAGTAGCCTTGAAGTTTGCAAAGTCAATCAGAGAAGGTATCTACATGAAGATAGCAAGTGAAGTGCAGATATATACCTGTGGAACAACGTCCAGAGTGGGAAAAGAACCCTTGTCTATTTGAAGCACGTGTGAATGTTACAATTGGCCAGTTTGGTTAGCATTGAGTAGTCTTGCAGCTGCAAAGTCAATCATTGTCCTTTCCAAATTTCGTCCAGTAAGAAAATGCACCAGAATCAAGACAGTAAATAAAGAACAGTAAGAGAGGAATTCCAGGCGACAACCAACCAAGTACCAGTTAACACCTCCCAAACTAAGGATGCCTCCAGGCAACAACAACCAGGCTACTTCTATGCAAATGATGATGATGATGATAGTAATAATAATTCTGGCAGCCCAAGAACAAGCCATTCGAACCAATGCCATCAAAGTCAGAATTGAAAAGTCGAGGTCAGATCCCAAGACTCTGTAGACTCTGCAAGGAAGCAGATGAAACCATAGATCCCATCCTCAGCTGCTGCAAGAAGTTTGCGAACAGACTACAAGCAGAGGCACAACACCGTTGCTCAGATGATTCATTGGAACTTGTGCCACAAATGCCATCAAAGCAAGAATTGAAAAGTGAATGACAGATCCCAAGTGTAGACTCTGCAAGGAAGCAGATGAAACAATAGATCCCATCCTCAGCTGCTGCAAGAAGATCGCGCACAGACTCCAAGCAGAGGCACAACACAGTTGCTCAGATGATCCATTGGAATTTGTGCCACAAACACTATTTACTGTTCTTTATTTACTCATCTTGTTGTGTTTCAAATAATAATAATAATAATAATAATAATAACAACAACAACAACAACAACAACAACAACAACAACAACAACAACAACAACACCTCTAGGCAGATACCCTTATTGACTTTGCAAACTTTGCAAACTCCATGACTACTCAATGCTAACCAAGCTTGCTTATTGCAACATCCACTCTTGCTTCAAACAGACAAGGGTTCTTTCTCCCACCGTGGACATTATTCCACAGGTATATATACACTCCACTTGCTTCAACAGACCTCTGAGGATGACAGCCACAGGTGCAGGCAAAACATCAGGAGAGAATGCTACTGGAACATGGCCACGCAGCCCGAAAAACTCACAGCAGTTGTGTGATTCTGGCCGTGAAAGCCTTTGACAACACATTGAACTGTAGTAAGTTTGGATAGACGGCACACATATTTTAGCATTGGTTCATAAATATATACTCAAATTTGGAATGGCCAATTCCTGCTCCAAAGGAGTTGCAACATATCAACATATCAACATAAGGAAAACAAGAAAATAAGGAGAGGATGCTAGAAGAGCAGGAGACTAAATGGGGTATTTCAGTTGCATCTACTTCAGGAGCGTCACGTGCAATAGTTCCCAAACGTTGCTGCCCTTGCAATGTCCAGAAGTTTGTAACAGCCAAGCTTGGGATTTGTAGTCCCACCCAGATCTTCCCTGGGTCCCAAGGATCCCATTCACTCCGCACACGGAAGGCACTTACCTCCATGAGGCTTAAATGGATTCCGATGAGGTAGGGCATGGGAGCGCTGCAAGGAAAGAGAAAGAGGAGGCTTAGCCCGAGGGAGGAGGAGGACAACAAGGAGGCACGGGTGGGGCGCACGACACACAGTGCGCTCAGCGCAGAGAGGAAAAGTCGGCTGGAGTCCCCGGATAATAATGGAATAGCCTTATAGTTACTGTGCTATTGCACCATGAAATTACATGCCATTGCACCATGAAATTAAATGCCATTTCACCTTGAAATTAAATGCCTTTGCAAAATGAAATTGCATGCTATTGCAAAATGAAATTACATGCTATTTCACCATGAAATTACATGCTATTGCACCATGAAATTACATGCTATTGCAAAATGAAATTACATGCTGTTGCAAAATGAAATTACATGCTATTGCAAAATGAAATTACATGCTATTGCAAAATGAAATTACATGCTATTTCAACATGGAATTACATGCTGTTTCACCATGAAATTACAGTATATTCTGGCGTATAAGACTACTTTTTAACCCAAGAAAATCATCTCAAAAGTCAGGGGTCGTCTTATACGCGGGTGTATTCTTATGCATGGGAGTTGTCTTAACTCTATATTTTAACTGGAAAAGTTGGGGGTCGTCTTATACGCCCAGTCGTCTTATATACCGGAATATACGGTACATGCTGTTGCAAAATGAAATTACATGCTATTGCATCATGAAATTACATGCTATTGCATCATGAAATTACATGCTATTTTACAATGAAATTACATGCTATTGTATTATGAAATTACATGCTATTTCACAATGAAATTACATGCTATTGTACAATGAAATTACATGCTCTTGTACATGAAATTACATGCTATTGCAAAATGAAATTACATGCTGTTGCAAAAAGAAATTACATGCTATTGCAAAATGAAATTACATGCTATTGCAAAATGAAATTACATGCTATTTCACCATGAAATTACATGCTATTGCACAATGAAATTACACGCTTTCTCCAGCACACGGCACAAAACAACACACCCACCACCACCACACAGCCCCCAAGGCCACATCAATGCGAAGCCATGGAGTTCCACAAAACCACAACTCTGCCTCTCAGTCTGTTTGTCCTTGTCTTTATCACCCTGTACCACCTGCCAGGTGGCAATAATAAGACATTGCAAGGAAGGCTTTCCTTCTCAGAGCTGGAGAAGGGAGAAAGTAGGTAGGCGGGGGTCCCAATGATACTCAAGCAACACCAGGTATATACACGAATATATAGAATAAAATAGAATAGAATAGAGTAGAATAGAATAGAATAGCTTGACTGTCATTGTGCTATTGCACAACAAAATTAAATACCTTCCCCAGTACAAAATGCACAACGACACACCACTCCTCCGCACTCCCACGACCACCGCACAGTCCCCAAGGCCACATCAATGCAAAGGCATCGAGTTCAACCTAGCCACAGCTCTAGGATAAAAGCTATCCTTCAGTCTGTTTGTCCTTGTCTTTGTCACTCTGTACCGTCTGTCAAGTGGCAATAATAAGGCATTGTAAGGAAGGCCTTCCTTCTCAGAGCTGGAGAAGGGAAAAAGTAGGTAGGCGGGGGTCCCAATGATACTCAAGCAACACCAGGTATATACACGAATATATAGAATATAATAGAATAGCTTAACTGTCATTGTGCTATTGCACAACGAAATTAAATGCCTTCCCCAGCACACAACACAAAACAACACATCCGCCCCTCCATACTCCCACTATGACTGCACAGCCCCAAGGTCACATCAATGGGGAGCCATGGAGTTCCACAAAGCTACAACTCTAGCTGCCTCTCAGTCTGTTTGTCCTTGTCTTTGTCACCCTGTACCGTCTGCCAGGTGGCAATAATAAGACATTGTGAAGAAAGCCTTCCTTCTCAGAGCTGGAGAAGGGAGAAAGTAGGTAGGCGGGGGTCCCAATGACACTGAGGCAACACCAGGTATGTACATGAATACACAGAATAGAATTGAATAGCTTTACTGTCATTGTGCTATTGCACAACAAAATTAAATACCTTCCCCATCACAAAATGCACAACGACACACCCACTCCTCTGCACTCCCACCACCATTGCACAGCCCCAAAGGCCACATCAATGCGAAGCCACGGAGTTCCACAAAGCCACAGCTCTAGGATAAAAGCTGCCTCTCAGTCTATTTGTCCTTGTCTTTGTCACCCTGTACCGTCTGCCAGGTGGCAATAATAAGACATTATTATTATTATTATTATTATTATTATTATTATTATTATTATTATTATCTTCATTTATATACATTGTAAGGAAGGCCTTCCTTCTCAGAGCAGGAGAAGGTAGGCAGATGGTGTTTGTCCTTGTCTTTGTCACCCTGTACCGTCTGCCAGGTGGCAATAGTAACGCACTGTAAGGAAAGCCTTTCTTCTCAGAGCTGGAGAAGGGAGAAAGTGGGCTGGTGGGGGTCCCAATGACACTCAAGCAACACCAGATATAGACACAAATACATAGACTAGAACAGATTTATTGTCATTGTGCTAATTCATAATGAAATTAAATGCCTTCCCCAGCACACACCGCAAAACACACCCATCCCTCCGCACTCCCAACACCACCGCACAGGCCCCAATGGCACATCAATGCAAAGCCATGGAGTTCCACAAAGCCACAACTCTATCTGTCTCTCAGTCCGTTTGTGCTTGTCTTTGTCACCCTGTACTGTCTGCCAGGTTGCAATAATACAACATTGTGAGGAAAGCCTAACCCTAACCCTAACCCAAATATCTCTGGGTTTTCCTGGGTCAGCATCTGACTGGCCTCCAGAAGCCGACACGGAGCCGAATCTGTTCCTAATTAAGCCGTTTCGGCAACACAACGGCTTCAATGTCAAGAATATGAGGCCTGAAAGGACAGGAAGTCTGAAGAATGCAAAGGTCTCATCTCGGAAGCTTCAGAAGCCATAAAATGGGACCGGGACAGAAGAATTACCCCTGAAAGAGTCAGCGAGTGTGAGCCCTTTGATGGAAATACAACGGAGGGAAGATGCCTGTTCCCATTTGCTGATCCGACATCTTAAATTAATTGACGACGTTTCCAACGCCCTTCCATCGCTGTCACCTACACATATATTGGAAAGTTGGGTGAGGTGAACGCAGCACAGCTCTACCAGGAAATTCTCCCTCTCTCATCTGCTTTTGTTTTGGGTCTTTCCTTTCTGGTCTTCCCAGCTGCAAAGGGAACGTCCAAACACCAACGTGCAAAATTCAGCCCGAGGAAGGAGCCCCTTCCTCGACCGCAACAACAGGCTTGGCGAGAAGCGCGAAAGGAAACAGAAGGCAGACCTTTGTTTGGTGGCCAAAAAGCCTCTTTCTTTCCCCCGTTCACGGGTTTCAAAAATAGACGGGAGCTATTCCGGGGGAAAGAAATGTATTTACGGCACACAAATTAGCGCCCAACTGATTTATGCGGGTAAGTATAGTGTGCGATTGCCACCCTAATTAAGGTTCACGTCAGCTAACGGTAATCAGTTGTTGCGCTTGCAAAAAAACGCAATTAGATTCTCCCCGGTAATTATAGGGTATTCCGAGCTGTGCTGCGAAGCTGTCCATCTCCCAGCCTTTGCCTTTGCGCTGGGAAGCGGAACGAGTGTATAAGGCAGGAGCGTCGCACTCGTCTTCATCAAGGACCACCTCAGACTTATTAAGGTTGCCTTCAAGGGGTCTTTGGATCCACGGATGGAGACTCCGTGTATACAGAGAGCCAACTAAGTCAGGGCTCTTTAGTTATTGCCATGTTTGGAGGCCCAAATGTTATAGAACAGGCATGGGCCAACTTGGGCCCTCCTTCCAGGTGTTTTGGACTTCAACTCCCACAATTCCTAACAGCTGGTAGCACCAGCTTTAGAAACACTTTAGAAGCAAAGCACCGCGTTTAGTAACACTTTAGAAGCAAAGCACGAGGTTTAGAAACACTTTAGAAGCAAAGCACCGTGTTTAGAAACACTTTAGAAGCAAAGCACCAGGTTTAGAAACACTTTAGAAGCAAAGCAGCAGCTTTAGAAACACTTTAGAAGCAAAGCACCAGCTTTAGAAACACTCTCCGAACGTATTCTCCCCTAGGAACCATCAAGATTATTAAGATCGTCTGGAGAGGCCCTGCTCTCGGTCCCACCGGCCTCACAAGTGCGTCTGGTGGGGATGAGGGACAGGGCCTTCTCGGTGGTGGCCCCTCGACTCTGGAACTCTCTCCCTTTGGAGGCCAGAACCGCCCCTTCTATCCTGACATTTAGGAAACAGGTGAAGACGTGGTTATGGAGACAGGCATTTGATGAGTGAGACAACACCCTGAGATACGGATGGAAGATGATGTATAATTGATTTTAGTATGACAACTGACCATTGTAGTTTTGAATATATTTGTTGTTTTAATGTGCTATTGTAATATGATTTATGTTGTTTTAACGATTGTATGTGATTTTATGGTTGGAAACCGGTCTGAGTCCCTCAAAAGAGGTGAGAAGGTCGGTATATAAGACTTTTAAATAAATAAATAAATAAATAAATTTAGAACCAAAGCACCAATTTTAGAAACACTTTAGAAGCAAAGCAACAGCTTTAGAAACACTTTAGAAGCAAAGCACCAGCTTTAGAAACACTTTAGAAGCAAAGCACCAGGTTTAGAAACACTTTAGAAGCAAAGCACCATCTTTAGAAACACTTTAGAAGCAAAGCACCAGCTTTAGAAACACTTTAGAAGCAAAGTAACAGCTTTAGAAACACTTTAGAAGCAAAGCACCAGCGTTAGAAACACTTTAGAAGCAAAGCACCAGGTTTAGAAACACTTTAGAAGCGAAGCACCAGCTTTAGAAACACTTTAGAAGCAAAGTAACACCTTTAGAAACACTTTAGAAGCAAAGCACCAGCTTTAGAAACACTTTAGAAGCAAACCACCAGCTTTAGAAACACTTTAGAAGCGAAGCACCAGCTTTAGAAACACTTTAGAAGCAAAGCACCAGCTTTAGAAACACTTTAGAAGC